CTACATGTGCCTTAAACTACTTGCATCTCCAAAGGAGCCAGAGGATAGAAAGAAGCCCCATATCACAGAGCGCCCACCACCCACCTCCTTGGCCACGAACTATGAGGACTATGTATGTTTTTAACTAGCAGCTGTCCTGCCCACTTGACATCTGGAAAGGTTTTTCCTCGTACTCATGGGCTGCTATGCACGTCAGAGGAGCGCCAACTGTGATCTGGGGCCGTGTGCAGAACAGCCTCATTCACCAAATCCTCAGCCGCCATAGCACAGGAGAAAACACTGCTCAAGAGCTGGACTTCTAGGCCTCGGTCTTCCTGAAACAGCCCATCTGCCCAAGAGGGCACAGCTGCATTTGGGGCTCCCTGAGGGCATCGCCAAGACCACCAGGTCCCTAAATATTCCAGCTGGCTGAGATGGTAAGCATCCCGTTGTGGAAGGCACGCATCCAGGCTGGAGGATTACAGCGAAGACTTCTGAAGAAAGGGTTCAGGACCAGAGAGCAAAATGCCTAAGGACCCTGCCAAGCTCGAGAGGCTACAACCCTCCCATCTCTACAGCTCAAGCCAACAGCCTGACTGAATGAGCAAAGTCAAAGCATTTGCCTACAGATGGACCTGAAAGGGTCAGACCCAAACACCACTGTCCACCATGGTCAGCTGCATGCACAGTGCATATGCATCACAACTTCCAGGACACACATGAAAAATGCAGTCTCGGCCCCTGGCCAACAGGAGCAACAGGGTCTGTAATCCAACTGGGCTCTGGGCACAGGGCAGCTATAAACCCCACTGTCATGAGCCAGTGACCTGGCCCCTGTGCGACCTCCACAAGACAGTGCTGGTTCCCTTTGTGCCAGCAGGAGGGGCCCTTCCACAGCTTTCTAGGTTGTCACAAGCCACTCACACTTTCAGAGGGCAGTGCCAGGGGCAGGGGCAGTCACCTAGGTCATCCCCAGCCCTGAGCTTGGCTGAACAAGACCAAAAAGATGTCTTCCGTGGTGCTGATGATCACATCTAGAGTCATTCAGAAAAGAGGACATCCAGCTGAGAGGGAAGATTCAATCAGCAATGCCACCTCCAGAAATGCTAGGTCACAGCAGCTGCTCAACTGACAAAAGGTATTTCCAGTCATAATGGCCTCACTGCCCAATGCCTTTAATGCCCTCATCCATGCAGGGGGAGGACATTTTCCTACCATAGGCCACATCCCACTGCTATGGACTTGCAGAGTATGCTGGAGGCAGGAGGCTGCTTTCCACAAAAATGTTACTTTCTCCTTCTCTGCCTCCACTTTCATCTCCTAAGGGGGGAGGATGATAAAGAGCCACAGGCTTCGGTAGCACTGATTACCAGATAAGATTACAGGTAGAAAGGATTTAACCACTGGCCTTCAGAGAAAGATGGATAAGCACAAGGGCTAGGCTTCTGAAAAGAGGTTCCAGAAACCTCAGATATCCCCAAAGTACCTAGAGAGCCACCTACCACCTCACTCACCAGCAGGCATGTGCAAGTACACAGAAGGAAAGGAGTGTGCACAGCTAGGGGGTGGCCACTGGGGAGAAGCCACCTGGGCCTGGCTGAGCAAGACCCAGCTAGGAGGGTCTACAAGAAATCCACCAAAATGGGGAGGCTCTGAGAGTGAGCACATTTCCAGTAAAGCAGTGTTTCTACGAAAGCTGCAAGGGGACGAGGTGGACCACGATGATCCAGCACTGACAAGCTTGTACCAGGTGGGTGTTCCTAGCTTGTGAAAAGTGGGCAGCATCTCTCCCTGGTAAATAAGAAAGAATCCCCAGCCCACAGCAGCTGTTGCAGAGAACAAGGACAACAGTGATAGCTGTCTCCAGGGGGAGCAGAACCAAAAGCTCCCCTGGCTTCCTCAGCAGGCCCAGCTCCCTTGTCCGCCCCCACCCAGAAGGCCCTGCCTCCTCATCTCCACCAGCACCATTCCTAAGGCATCTTCCTCCCTCACCGCCGCTTCCCTAGCCTGCCTCTTTCTGATGGGCACTGTTCTAGGCTGCACTAAACGATAACCACACAAGGAGACAGTAATGGCTTTTTAATGACTTCAGCTCCAATTATGGAATAACTGCCAAGCCCAGGCTGCCAGCTGCGGCCCCGCCAGGAGACTCAGGCGGGAGACAGGGCGCTGATGGATAGGTCTTTCAGCTGACCTGGAGGCTCTTCCATCACGGGCGCCACCTGCTGGGGTCCTGAACAGGGAGGCTCAGGAAAGCCACTGGCTCACAAGGGTCGGAGAAACCCAGGCTTCAGTGTCCACCAATCCATCCGCTGTCTGGCACCAACAAGGGGGCAGCTTCATCTCCCAGGGAGCCCACCACTCCACATCCCCTCACTTCCCCCAAGGCGCCCCACAGATGTCGAAGCGATGAACCACGATTGACAACAGGGGGCAGGGACAGAAGGGCACCGCTGCGCCCTGGAAAAGCACACACAGCCCACATCCTTAAGCCTGCTTCCCGCCCTCTGTTCATACCTTACACACTCCGGCTACTCCACCAGCGCTAACCAGAGGTCCAGGGGTCAGGGAATCCAGGGCCAGACCCAACTCTCTGGACATACTTTCCATGTCACTTTACCCTCCCCTCTTCCTGTCCTCATTCTTTCCCCTCAGTCACAGTGGAAGCTACCCCTGCTGGACCCAGGAAATCAGAGACATGGACTGTCAGGAGAGGAAAGGCCCTAGGGCATCTGGCTGCAACCCTGTGCCCAATGCCACACCCACAGCAAGTCCAGATCTGTGGCTTCTGTGGCCCAGCAGCTTAATGGGACACAGTGAGAACCAATTAGGCTACAGAAGGGAGAGGACCACACTGCTCACAGGAGTTCCAGCCGTCCAGGATAGGCCATCTCCATTCTAGCCAGCAGTTCCCAAATTTACCAGGTGTATTAAAACTGCTGGAGGGACTAAGCCCTGACTTGGCAGTTTGGAACTGCTGGGGAACATGCCCCAGAATCAACCCACTCCTCTCTCTCTTTGTAAAACAAGTGCCATATGTGATTCTAATGCTCACCCATGCAAATGTGACCATGAGCCACAGCTGGTGATCTCTAAAAAACAAAAAGACAATCAGGGAGTTGTTATAAGGCTGTTACCAGAGGGAAGTGGTCTATGCAACTGCCCAGCGCACCTCTGAGGCCAAACCCAACAACAGAACTGAAGGAGTCAAGAGTCACATGACTACCTAGAAAACAAAGTGAGGAAATGGTGGGAGGATCCTAACAAGGGTCAGGAGGAGGGGGAGCATGGAGACATGCTTAGGTTCAACCTAGGGAAGAACTTAGAAGAAGTCACAGCCATCTGATGGGAGGCCGTGTGACAGGGATGCCACAGGGAGCATCCACTTGGAGAACTAGATGACCTGTAAGGGTCTTCCAGCCTGAAACTCTCCAGTGCTCCAGGAGGCCCCATGGTGATGGAGAGTACTGTATTCCTCAGGTGTGCTTCGAGCCCAGGTGTGGGGCTGGGAAGGCCAAGGAAACCTGAGAGGCTATCAGGGATGCCCCTTCTATTCAAAGAAGTGGCCATCTTGTCTGTGCTGGGGACACGACCAGGAAACAGATAAATTCCCCGCTCTCAGTTAGTTCATGACCAAGTTAGAGATACACCAGGCAATGGCCTCAGGACCATGAAGACAAGGGCACTGAGGACAGGGCCATTTCAATCCCGCCCAGCATGGTCCTCCAATACCCTGTGGGCCTCAGTCCTTCCTGACTCTCACTGCTCCATCTACAACTTATAAAAGGTTGTAAATGGACGAAGGGCATTTAATATTCCTCAAGAACACAGGTCAAAAGAGACTGGCAGAAATAGAAACTATTAGTACTAATAGAAAGAAACAAAAGGCAAAAAAATGATTCCAATTGCTAAGCTGTATAAATTCAGTAGCTCCCTTTGAAGTCAGAATGTGAGATTAATCCATGATCATTATACACTGAGCCAAAATTACCCATAAGAAGATTATCACCAACTATCATTTCTCTAAAGGAAATAAGCTGGGCCCAGGGAATGCAAGATGTTACCGTCAGAGAGGGAGTAAAACCCTCACCAGCAGAACCAGCAAGATGCCAGCCAACCCCTCTCCCTCAAACCAAATGCCACATTCCAGTTCTGACACGCTGTGACATGAGGGAAGCCTCACACCAGTCAAAGCACGTGCGCGCCACCCCTGCCCCCACTCCCATCTGCAACTAAAATGCTTTGTCTGTCTTCTGCCCCAGTTTTCTCTGTGATCAGACAGCATGTGGCTTTGACTGCAATCAGCAGGCCAGTTAATGCAAGAGGCAATTTGAATCTCCTCCTGTCAGCCCAGGTCTCCCATTTTGGAAGTCTGCACCCCAAGTCCAGTGCTTTCTCATGCTCAGTGTGTGCCCTGAAAGACCCCAGTAGGGCAGGGGGGATCCCGGTAACTGTTGACGTATATAGTCTGCCTCCAGCTAGACTCTCCTCTTCTCTACAACAGAATGAGGAGGTGGGGTGACAGGCATGGGGAAAGCAAGCAGCGCAGGGCTCTGTGGGTGGCAAGCTGCTCCTCAGGGCCAGGCATCCAAGGAGGCAGGATTCGACGCTTCAGAGCTGAGTCTGTGGCCCAGGAAAGGAACTGGAGGTGTGGGGGTGGAGGGGAGACAGTAGTTGGACCTAGGCTGGGGCAAGTGCCAAATCACTCCTTGCAGGACGCCAGGGCCCTGGGCACTTGCTAGAACAGAGTCATTTCCTAGAGACAATTCTACCTTCCTGGGCCACCTTTCCCAGGAACAGGCTTCAGCCATTCATTTGAGGCAGATTTTCTCTAAGACCCCTGCACTGTCTCTACAAGTTGCTTTAGTCCCTGGCTCCCTGGGAGAAGCTTCTTAGAACCATGTCTTGGCCTGGCCCAACATTCAGTTTGCCAGATCCTAAACATGCCATCATCTCCACAGCCATAAGTGCTGCCCCTCCCACCCTCCTCAGTCCACGGCCACCACCCTGCCATCTGGACCCCTACACAGGTACTTCCACAGCACCAAGTCTACTCAGCCCACAAGCACTGCCCAGGCACCTCTGCTGTGTGGCTAGAAAAGGTTGATGATACTCTCTGGGGCTGCACTGTCTTCTAGAAGGTCATCAGCCTACATGTGCCAAGAAAGGCCAGCATCCTCCAGAAACTACCTGTGCCCCAGCCTGGACGTCTGTCTAGGGCAGCAGCTCTTCTGAGTCAGCAGAGCCCCAGTTCCTGGTTCCATGATGGAAACAGCTCCCTGATCCATGTGAGACTTAAGTGTGACTACAGGTTTCTTCAGGAAACCTGTAGGTGACTTGTGTGTGTGTGCATATGTGTGAGTGTGTTGCTGGTGGTGGTGGGGAGAGACACAAAATAACCTGGGAACCCTTGAATCCCCCACAGGAGCTGAGATTAGCGGTAACAACAATGCTCAAGAGAAACCCTGAGTTCCCAGGCCTCGTGCCTGTTTTCAGAAGGATCTTCTTTTAACAAGCCTTAGGCGGTTTCAGCTGGTTTCCATTTCGGACGCTGTCTGGACAGACTCAGAGTAGAGCCCTGTCAGAACTATTTTCTGTCAGTGACTGGTATGAGGCTCTAACAGAGAGCAGGCTGTGTTACAAGGCAGGTCCTGAAGATCTGATCCTGCCGTCCGCTAGCACATGCACCTGGGTCAGCAATAACACAGGGGGTCTTAGCAGTCCAGCACCCTTTTTACACACAAGTCTCTCTAGGCCTAGAGACAGCCCTGTAGCCCATGGCAACCAAGGAGCCAATGGGTGGCCAAGAATCTGACGCTGCCATGGTGACGAGCTCCTTTCCTTGGTAATAGAGAGAATGGAGTGGAGTGGATGGGGAAAGACCTGCACCTGTGAGAGGCCCTAGACCACCTCCCCGCCCCCTTCCCACGTAAGTGGGAAAACCCTGCCATCGTTGAGATAGACCACAGTGCCTGGCAGCAGAGAGTGGTGGGCTTCCCTGAGTGTGCCTGGATCCTTGAGTGCTTTTGTGCATGTGAGGGTAGTTCTATGTACTATGAGCTGGTATGTGTCCAGGTATAGACCTGCTAGCAGGTAGATTACTCGATCTCTGAAAGAGACTGAGTAGCACTTGTGAGTGAGTAGCAGGTGTCAGTTATCCTCCAGATATAGGATGTGGACGTGTACCGATACGCAGGTATATGCCTGTGTGAGCCCAAGAATTCTTGTGTGTAGAATATATGGGTACATGTGCACATGACCACTAGTGTGCTCTTGGTTCAGAATAACTGTCTTCACAGATCCATGCTTTGAGAGCGTGAACCAACCAGCAGGAGCGTCTTTGGCCCAAGACACGGACGTCCTGTGGGTGCATGCGTGCAGATGTATGAGTGTGTGCGCGCACCCTGCACAGCGTGTGACTGGCGTGCTGGGCCTCGGAGGGGGCTTGGAGCAGTGTGAACTCCCTCCCCAGGCGGCCACATGATGCTCCCTGACCCAACAAGGCCCATTCCAGCAACCCTGGTGGATAAGCGGGTGGAGCGGGGCAGGCAGGATCAGTCTGCAGGGGCCCTCAAAGTTGAGAGGAAAGACCAGCGACTCCAACCCGCGCCCCAGTGCTGGGACAGGTGGGGAGGGCAGCAGTGCCTTGCAACCCGGCCGCGTATCCCCCGCCAGCCTAGGTCCCGAGTCAGGGGTGGTGGGCGCCCCGGCCCAGCGCCCGCATACCTGTAGGGAATCCAGTCGGAATGCGGTTTGGAAGTCATTTCTCTCGGGGGCGGGGCGGCGGCTGCGGCTCTGGAGGCCGGGGCCCTGTAGGGCCGGCGCGGGGGCCCTGCTCAGCTCCCGGGCCGCCCCGGGCCGCATCCTCCCGGGCCGGGGCGCTGGGCCCCGCCGAGGCCCGCGCTGCACGCCAGGGCCCCGGCTGCTGGCTCTGCGAGCGGCTGCCTGCGCGGCGCGATGGGCGAAGCAGCGGGAGCGCGCGGGGCGTGCGCGCGCACACGCGCGCGGAGGCTGGGAGGCCGCCCGCACCGTCCCGCGCCCTTCTGGCGCCAAGGCGGGAGCACTGCGTGGCAGCGGCCGCCCGCCCCTTCTCCCTCGCCCCGCCCCGCCCCGCGGAGACCCCACCCCCGGCCGGCTCTGGGCCTGCGGAACGCCTTTGCCCCCTCCCCCGAAATCGCCGCGATCCCTGCTCCAATCGCGCGCCCGCGCTGGCGCCCACCTTCGGCTAACAGCGGCGCTGCCGCCGGGCCAGTCCCCAGACTTGCCAGCCTCAGTCTCTTCCTCAGTGAGAAGAGGATCACTCGAACACCTCCCTACATACCTGACCTACCTGTCTCCGCTATGGGTTGGGAAACCGCTGCACGGATTTGGCGGGGAAAGGGACCGCGCCAGGGGCGCGGATGGAGGAGGAATCTAGTCGTGCAGGAAGAGGTGGGGGAACCTCCGGGCCGAAGCGTGGAGGCTGGCCTTCCCTCACCCCCGAGTTTCCACATCCGCGCCTAGGGAACCCTCTCTGTCTTTGGGTTAAGTAAAGGAGGTATTTCCTCAGCTGTGGCTCCCTCCCATCTAATCTATAGCGTCAAGAAAAGGGGAGCATTTACTGTCTATTGCATTCCCCGCCCTTGCAGATTTCTAATATTTAATCTCCACAATATCCTTGAGAGACAAACATCTTATCCGCATAACCCAGAGAATAGGAATGCTGAGATGCCCAAGGCCATAAAGCTGGGGAGCGGTGGAGCTGAAATTGTTCTGTGATCTGTGTCCTCCAAAGCCCTTCCTAGGGGACGGAAGTTACAGGAGGCAAAAACCTCTATCTACAAAGATCATCTGAAAGTCTCTGTGCACTGAGGAAGTCCTGGCTGTGACTAGCTTGAATGCAAGGCATGGCACACTGAGAAGGCAGAGGACCCACAGTAGGACGGATGGAAGCAAGGAGCAGCAGGCTAAGGGGTCGCCAGGGCCTGCATGTGGAGCAGGTGATCAGGGAGAGGTCTGGGGAGGGGCACGGTCCTCGCATGCTCATGGGCGTCCTCATGTGCATCCTGGATTCTGCCACACCAACTGCGCCAGGAGAGTGTTGTGCAGGGATCTTCTGATGATAGGCCATCAGGACTGCCCCGCAGTGAGTGTGAGAACAGCCAAGTGGGCTGAGGGAGGGGGCTCATCCTGCTGCCCTGGGGCCACAGCCAGACCCCCACCCCAGGACTCTCCGAGCCCTTCGGCCTTGCCTTGTCTTGTCCATTAATTATAAAACACAATAACCACAATATGTGGAATATTCGGTGAGTGTCAGGAGCTGTGTCAGGTGCTATGTATATAACTCGTTTAATCCTCACAGTCACCCTAGAAGGTAGGCACCATTATCATACCCGTTTTACAGCAGAGGAAACTGAGTCACAGAGAGGGCAAGGATCTTGCCCAAAGTCACACAGCTGATCAATGATGAAGCTAGCATTCACACGCAAATGGTCTGGGTCTACAGTCCTTACCCTCAGCCTCCTTTCTGCCTATCACAGTTCATGAAGTGTACACACACACACACACAGCCTCTCTCTCCAGGCTTTGGAGCTCAGGACAGGTCAGATCCATCTCTGGCACAGCATTGATGCTCTCTGAACACTCTGACCTCTGGTTAGTTATCAACCTCCGAGAGCTATCACTGTCACTGGGGACAGAGAGCAGACAAAATGAAACACCTGGGAGTGGGGTACAGGAGGCAGAAAACAGGGCTGTTTTGTTGCCTGCTAGGATGCTTGACTTGCACTCTGTTGGCCTCCCAGGAAAAGCAGCAGAGATTGGTCCCTACCCTGGAGGCTACAGCCAAACAACAATGCTTCTGTGTCAGACACAATGAGGGTCTAAAAGATTTTTCCCTTCAAGAATCTGAAGCTGCTTTCCTCCCTTTATTTCCAAATTACCTGACATCTTAAAGCAATCAGAATTAAGTTGGAAGGTCTCAGGAGCCTGAAGTAATTGAATCTATTAAATAGACACTTTAGGCTCTGTCCTCAGGGAGTAAAATCTGGAGGCAGAGTGAGGTACAGAAATAAGATGGCTTTCCAAGTCTCTTTCTGCAGAAGTTACGTATACACATGGGATGTGGGACAACCGTAGGATTGAGTGCCAGTGTATGCATGAGTGTGAGTGTGTGTACATGTGAGGGTGTGTGCATGGCATGTGAGGGTGTGTGCATGGCATGTGAGGGTGTGTGCATGGCATGTGAGGGGGCCGGTGGGACTGAGTGCCAGTGTACACATGAATATGAGTGTGTATGTGTGTTCATGTGTGTATGCACATGGGATGTATAAGAGTCAGTGGGACTCTGTGCCAGTGTATGCGTGAGTGTGGGTGTGCACACAGGAACCGGGGGGTGGGGGCAGTAGATCTGTGTCAGTGTACGCAGAAGTGTGTGTATGTGTATGAGATGGCCCTGCAGTCTGAACAAGACTGCACAAGAACATTTGTTGGATGGTGTGCGTGCAAGGGAATGATCTGTGTGCTTCTTTGAGATCTATGGAGTGCAAGAGCGTTCACATTCAACTCAGAATGCATGATGGGTTTTTCCACTCAAATGGCTTCCGTGGTTGACATTTTAAGTTTATGCCCTTGGCTTCCATCAAAAAGCTACTCAGGAAAGTCAGATGATGAATATTATACTCGGCCATGGTAAAAGTTAGATTTTTACATCTGAACTGTAACAGTGACCCTTGAAGAAGGGCATAAGCTTTTCAAATGTAGCCCCAGGAACAAGGTTATCTCAACTGAAACACCACCACACAGCAATCCCAACATGCCTCTCACCACCTGCCCAAATCCTGCAAGGGTAAGATACCTGCTATGAATTTAAATCATCCTGTTTGCATTTTAGGCATTTTCAAACATGGTGACGGTTTGTGAGGGGGAGTGAAGAAACGCATGGAGACTGAAGTGGCAACAGAGGCCCTCGTATCTGCCACCTGAACCTGAGGACCCCAGGGCCACCCCCACCCCCAGCAGGATCAGTTCACCCAGGGAAGAAGGTTAGCGTTTTGGCACTTAGCCACCTACGTGGGGTCTTATATGTGCTATAGTTAATGTGATGGTTTTATTGAGTGTGGGCCTCCTCTAGTCAACTCTGGAAGCAAAAGGATATGAATGATAAATGATATCCATTCAGACTGGGCCCTGCCCAGTGGCCTGGCATTGTGACTTTGCAGTCTGAGGAAGGCAATTCAAATCAATCAAACATCCACTAGTCCCTCAAAGGCTGATGCAGGGCTGCAGTGCCCTTGGTGAGGGTCAGGTGTATGGCTGCTCTCAGGGAGCTTTCAGTTCAGCAGGGGAGATAGGAAGAAATAATGACTGTACCCTGCATTAAGGCATTGGTGTTACAGCATGGGTGTACAATGTGCTGGGGGTGAGGGGGCACAGAAAAGAGGCAGTCAATGGAAGTCCCTGGAAGGGGGAGGTCAGGTTAGGACAAGCCTTCCCAAGAGTAGAAAAGGATGATGGTTGTATTGAGCCCTGAAAGATGAATAGGATTTTGATAGGCTGATAACAAAGGAAGGGGGAAATTTAACAGTTACTGCGATTCTACAATTGACCAGGCACTGTGCTAGGGTCTTTTAGCAAAGGGCGTTACAGACAGAGATGATGACATGAGCACAGTTATGGAGACATGAGAGTACAATGCACTTGAAAGCCAAGGTGCAAACCAGCATGGCACCATGTAGGTGAAGGGTTTGGCGTGGCAGGAAATGGGCCTAGAAAGTTAAGGCAGGGCCAGATCATATGCTGTCCTGAACATCAAGCTAGGGAGTCTGCAATTATCCTGTAGTTTGGAAATCTCCTATAGACTGTTCTCAGGATGTGGTTCCTAATGGGGGACCCCTAGAGGGTTTTAAGCCAAGAATAATCTGCCCAGATGTAACCTTTAGAAAGAAATAATTGGGAGCAAGCAGAATGAGGATTAAGGAAGGGAGACAAGGCTAGCGGCATGGAATACTGCTAGACAGCTATGAGTAAAGTCCAGGACAAAGATGAGCCAGCCCCAAAACAGAGTCAAGTGCCATTTTGAAGCTGTGGATAGACATCATGGCAACACAGTAGCATTAAGTATGGGAGGCCAGATAAGGCCCTCTGTAATTCCCATTTAAATAACTGCAGCATATACAAAGACCCTTGCACCACTGTCGATGACTGAAATAAATAGGCTTACAATGTCTTAGAGAAAAATGTAGGTCAACCAGTAAAATTAAAAACAATGTCTATTTTCCAAATCACTGCTGAAAGTAATAGCAAATAATTTCCACACCGACACACAAGCATAATCTATAGGAAACATAAAATGCATAGGGCATAAAACAAAGTAATAGGACTAAAACCAGACCGAATGGTTATGAGGTGAATGTAACTAGAGCGGCTGTGAGCCTGGCACACACAGCTATCATTTGTTTAGTGCATGCTCTATGCCAGGCACCCCTCTGGGTGTTTCATAAAGACAAATATGGCAATGGGGGGATGAGATGGGATGCTTCTGGTCCAGGCTCCACTGGGGCCTCAAATGAACAGATACCACATTTCAAAGTGAAGTGGGATACACCTATTGGAAAAGAGGTGGTGAAAACCTAAGTCTGTGCCATTAGCTGACACCCACCTCTAATACATACAAAATAGGAGGGAGGCTGAAAAAAGGGTTATTGAAGGTTTAGAATGAATTTTAGAGACAGCCTCTGTGGGTCCTGTGATCCCTACTAAGTGGGAGGGTTGCAAGGTGCTATCGCCTTCACCTCGAAGCCAGAGGAGACCTCTAAGTTGGTTGATATGTGACCACAATGGTCTTGGTGCCACAGTGGACAAATCCAAAGAGCAGCAAGAGTGCTGCTGCTTTGGCATCAACCCTGCTCCCTGGTTTGCAGGGCAAAGCACACGTGAGTGTCTCTTGTGGACAGAGGTGGGACCCAGCAAGACAGCCAGATGTGATTGTCTTAGAGCCACGCCAAGAGGGCTCCTCTGTGGGAGGGGGTGACACCAAGGGAGACCAGGTTTCCCAGAGCCTGAGAAAGAAGCCATGGGATCGGCTATGGGGAGAGAGTATCACCCTCATCAAGGGAGGTGCAGGATACAGCAATGGTGTGGTCTCCACCAACCCACAAAAACACCCCCATGAAAGAGAGCGTCCGGAGATCAACATGACACCAACTCATCAGAGTACAGTCACTGAAGACCTTTCCTTCCCCTCTCCTTTCCCACCTCCCTCCCCCTCCACCTTGGACCCTAGAAAGGGTTGGGACTGTCATGTGCAAGCTCCCCACAGGCAGCTGGCCTGCAGCAGACTGTGCTGGGAAAAAGATGGTGTAACTCTGATGTTTTAAGATTTTTTTTTTTTATTACAACAGACAGAATGCATTAATTACTGACAAGACAACCTCTGGTTACCAGATAATGGCCAGAAAAGTCATGGGACTTACACTAAATTGAATAGAATTTTAGAGGGGAACACAGCCCTATAGAATAAATTTAAAGGGACTGTGGGAGGCAAAAACAAAGTTTGCTTTATGATTACATCTCATGAGTCATGCCTATGCCTGTTCAACTTAACAATTACACATGACTTCTCCCATTTAATCCTCGGAGCAACACAACACGGTAGGTACTATTATTATCCCCATTTTACAGATGAAGCAACAAAAAGGTTATATATAATCTGTTGCAAGTCACACAGATAAGATTTAAGTTCAGATTCAAATTTAGATTCAGGCAGATGAGCGCTGTAGAGCCCAGAGATCGACCTTTCTCCAGAGAAAACCAGATGATGAGCGCCTCAGCCCTTTGACTCATTAATTCCTGTTCTAGAAAACTAGCCAAAGGAAATGGAAAATGAAGTCAAAAGTTTATATATAAAGATACTGATGGAAACTTTATGGCTAATAGGGGAAATTGGCTGGGGGAAGATAAACAAAATGTCTACGAATTAGGACTCCATTAAGTAAGTAGTCAAATGTTCACAGGATGGATCATTAAGCAACCTTTATGGGGAATTTTTGTTTTTAAGAGAGAGGGTTGGCTGGGCATGGTGGCTCATACCTGTAATTCTAGCACTTTGGGAGGCCAAGGTAGGCTGATCACATGAGGCCAGGAGTTCAAAAGCAGTCTGGGCAACATGGTGAAACCATGTCTCTACTAAAAATACAAAAATTAGCCGGGTACCTGTAATCCCAGCTACTTAGGAGGCTGAGGCAGGAGAATCGCTTGAACGTGGGAGGCAGAGGTTGTAGTGGGTCAAGATTGTGCCACTGCACTCCAGTCAGGGTGACAGAGCAAGACTCCATCTCAAAGAGAGAGAGAGAGAGACAGAGAGAGAGAGAGAGAAGGTCTCGCTCTTGTCATCCAGGCTGGAGTATAAGTGGTGCTATTGTAGCCACTGCAGCCTTGAACTCCTGGTCTCAAGTGATCCTCCTGCCTCAGCCTCTGGAGTAGCTGAGACTACAGGTATAAACTACCACACCTGGCTAATTTTTAAGTCTTTTGTAGAGATGAAGTGTTGCTGTGTCACCCAGGCTGTTCTTGGACTCCTCAGTCAAACAACCCTCCTGCCTCAGCCTCCCACAGCACTAGGATTATAGGTGTGAGCCATTGCACCCAGCCTTATAGAGAATTTTTAATGACAGAGTAACAGACTTATAAGATGGGATACAATATTTTAGGCATGTATAATGCTCTATAAAAAAGCCCCACCAGCTGACACATATGTAGTCTCATACACAGTTGCCTAGGGTGAGAGACACAGTCCAGGCGCTTCAACTTTGCCGCCCCAGGGACCACATCCTCCATTCCAGGCGGCCCCTTCTTCCAGGTGCTCAGACCTCCTGTTAGCTCCAGCTGTGGCCCCTAAGACCGCCTAGTGACTCCTGAACGGCACAGACAACAACCCCACCCCCGAGGTTGGAGAAGACAGACAATAAACACAATTAGTACAAATATAGTTTTGGTAAAAAAATAATATTTTGTAATGCCTTACAGGTTGCCATATCCTCAATCACCTAGCTTATATAGTATGTCACTAAGACAAGAGCCAGGTGGCTGCACTTTACTGCCCGTGGGTGCAAGAAACACACGCAGTTCTTAGCCTGGTTATTTATCTTGGAAGGGAGCAGAGGAAGAGCAGGAAGGATGCTGAACAGACACCCGCTCTGTACTCATTCTGAGGCATCTGCTGTGTGCTTCCTAGGCAGGGAGACCCAGGGCTGGAGGACAGTATCCGTGACCGGGGAAGCTTCTGTTCCCAGGAAGTCCTCTTGCCCACTTGCCCACAGGGCATCTAAGCCCAGCTCTCTGGGGAGCAGAGGCTGAGATTATAAATAGAAAGAGTGGCTCTCAGGCTGAGCATTCAGGCCCCTGTGCTCAGCCTCCAGGAGGGGTTTGTTTCACCAGCATTATTGGATTTGCAGATAGGCAATGGAATTAAGCTGATCAGGAAGAGAGGGAGAGAGCTCTCATTTATTCATAAATGCAGGATTTATCTAGCAGAGCCCTCTCCTTTGTCAAACAGAGAGCCATTTCCTTTATATCCTCCAGCAAAGAACATTTTATTTTGTAACCTTTCAGAAAAGCCTATGAGTTGGTGTTTTTGACCTGTTTTTCTCCCTGCTTTAAGAAAACCACGATTATTTAAAATGTGAACTGCATATTAAATAATCCTATTCTGAATTCACAAACCAATCTCCCCACCAAGAGGAATCAGTCCTTGAAATACTATTTAAACTATTTGAAAAGTTTATCACTCCCCACACAGCAACCTTTTGCTCCATGAGCCTTCCCTTTTGCTGCTGCTGATTCTTGGATACGAGACTCTAGAGCCACTGAGGAAGCGGAGTCCCAAAGGTCATTTATGGGATTGAAATCAAGCTGTGGGCTCAGTTTTCCAGACTCTGAAGTGGAGATAAAGGTTCCAAGACCTACAGAGGCAGCAGCTGTAGAGGAAACAGTGCCAGTGCCAGGTTCCAATCCTGGCAAGGTTGCTAATGTCCTGTGTGACCTTAAATAAGGATGTCGCCCTCTCTGTGCTTCATGAAAGTCAGAGAGTAGGACTATCTCTAAGACTCCTCTCAGCCCTAAACCTTCTCTGATATTTTGACTCTTTACTGCAGGGCTGTTCGGGGACAAAAGAAGATGATTATAGTTTTCTCCACTCTGAAATAAGGTGAGAATTCTTGCTTTATTGTTTTTTGTGTTAGCATTCTTGTATTTTGCATAAGAAACAGCAGTGAAAACACATGAGACTTAGGGGAGCTGAATTCTTTTCTTCTCTGTGCTGCTAACTCACTGGGTGACCAGAGCCCATGTTGCCCAGGCTCGCCTCAGTTTCCTCATCTGTTTAGTGGAGACAATGTACGCCTTGCCTGCTGCACAGAGTGTGTGAGGCTGAACTGAGAAGGAGCGTTAGCCTGTGAATGCCATGCTGGAGTCCAACGCACCATAGAGATGGGACAACATTTAGTATTTTGAGCTCCCACTCATTGAGCCCTCACACAGGGCCAGCACTGTGCTAAGAGCTCACTTGTATTATCCCATTGATTGCTGGCAGCTCCCCGAGGAGCTATTATGCAGAAGGAAGCAGAAGCACTGTGGGTGGTCACAGCAGCAAGGGTTTACTCAGCCTCACCAAGCCTGCACCATGCGGCCTCTGCTGCCCGCCCACCACAGATGAGGGCGAGAACAGGTGGGCCCACCACTGCTGCCCTGCCTGGGCTCTAGGAGGGAGGAAGCAGGGAAGGGAGAGGGCCCCTTCCCCCTCTGCCATCTCCCAGCTGAGCTCTGGCCCGGAGGAGGCAATGTGCAAAGACTCCTTCTAGGCCTCATCAAGTGAGATCATGCCCAGGGGTGGTGGGGGTGCGGGGCAGTGCCCGTCTCTGCCGCTTTCCACCTCTGCGTCCTCTGCATCACTGTGTCTCTCTCCTGACCCCTGGTCTGATCACAGTACACCTGCTCTTCATGTCTTTGTGTCTGCATAGCTGTCACCACCCTCCCCACTGCTGCAGAGTGGCCCCTTCCTGTACCTTCCCCTACCCCAAGGAAGGCATGAGTGGAGCCCTGAGCACAGGGGCTCAGCAGAGCAGGACAAGGCCCTGGAATTCTGAGCTGGACACCTCAGGCCAGGTGGCCCTGTCCCAGGCCTTGCACTTGTGAGGATTTCTGGGGTCTCCCTGGAGACAGGCAAGTTAGGCTGGCCCTCAGATGGATTTCAGAAGTCTCCCTTCCCCAGTGGGAGGGGCCTTGGGCTGCTGTGTGTTCCTCTAGCTCAGGTCATCCTCTGCTCTGCCCCAGCCTCCCAACCCCTGCCCTGAACATGCCCCAGATCTCTATGTCGTGCTGCAGCTCCCCACATCTGAGTGCAGCCTGCCCGTTCTGAACTGTGTCCCACTCCATCCTCTTGGCTCTGACAGACAACCAAAGCAGTTTGGTGAAGGACAGGAATCTCATGCGAAACTTCCCTTGCCCCTTACAGGTGACCAGACATTTGCTGATGTTATAGGCCCATGTTCTCACTTGATCTAAAAACACCATTCGTGTCTTGGATGTCAGGAATCCTGAGTTGAGGTCTAGGTCCCCAGCCTCTTATATGACCATAGACAAGTGTCTTCCCAATTTTCTTGGCTTCAGTGTATCAGTGTATAAGATTAGATAAGGTCTGAGGCACCCAACATCACTAGAGTTCCATTATCAAGGGGCCCATCTGAAAATTTACATTGAAAGGATATACATTTCTCACGTCCCATTCCTACTGCCCTGGGAGAGCCGGGTAGAGAACACTCAGGCTAGGCTTACCCCTATGAAAAAGGCATGATGAGCACAGACCCAGCCCTCACCCAGCCACACACCCAGAAGACAGATGGCAGTGCAGGATGCACTCTGTAAGTGGGTCTGAAGTCCCACCCACCCTCTCCGTGAAAAAGAGATGAGTGCTTAGGAACAATTCAAACATGCTCTGCCATGAACCACCTGTATGCCTTGGGCTGTCCTGGGGACTTAACAGTTAATATATGTAAACCACTTAAAACATGCAGTATGAGTTAGCTGTGGTTACATAATAATCTGCACCCCCCTCTCCCTTCGGCCCCCCTGCAGTCTGTTCTCACATGGCAGTGAGAGTGATTTTTTCATAATGCAAATCTATCCTTGCACCTGCTGCTTCAAATCCTTCACTGACTTTCCTTGCTCACAGACTAAAATTTTATTTTATTTTATTTTATTTTTTGAGACAGAGTTTCACTGTTATCCAGGCTGGAGTGCAATGGCACGATCTCAGCTCACCACAACCTCCGCCTCCTGGGTTCAAGCAATTCTCCTGCCTCAGCCCCCAGAGTAGCTGGGACTACAGGCGTGCGCCACCATGCCCAGCTAATTTTTGTATTTTTAGTAGAGATGGGGTTTCACCATGTTGACCAGGATGGTCTCGATCTCTTGACTTCGTGATCTACCCGCCTCGGCCTCCCAAAGTGCTGGGATTATAGGTGTGAGCTACCGGGCCCAGCCCCCAAAATTTAAAAAGTTCCCACAAAGCAATCAAGGTACTGGTTTGTAGCTATACTGGTGTGCTTTTAGAGAAGCCAGGCCTTCCTTACCTTTGCAGACCTTTGAGTCTGGAATCCACCTCCCATCCCTGCCCTGCAGGCCGAAGCCCAGAGGCTGAGACTGAAGTTCCAGTTCAATGGGGACAGAGGAGGGCCCAACTACTTGTATTTCTTTCAAGTTCCTGAGGGGGGCATTGGTGAGCAGTTATTAGTCTATGTTAGAAAGGAGTACTCATGGTTTATATTATTGCAAATGATCCGCTGTACTGGACCTGAGAAAATGTAAGGGAATCAATAAGAAAACCCCAGAAACAGAAAGTTCAATAAAGTTGTCAGATAAAAAGATGGAAAAATAGCCAAGAACATTTCTATATAAGACAATAGTCATTTGCAAAATGAAAATGCAAAATACAATGGCACAAGACTACATCTAAAAAGTTTTAAAATAATATCGATGAGACTGTTTTGTGATTCATATAAAGAAAATTATAAAATGTGACTGATACTTATGAAAAGAACTTGAAGAAATGGAGATTCCTAATATATTTCTATATAATAGGAAGACTATTTTAAAGACAGTAATTCTTCCTAAATGAGACTTCATTTAGTTCAAAGCAAAATTCCAAGGGGATTCTGAAACTTGATAATGTACAGAGATTTTTTTTATTCTTCCCTGTGGTGATGGTTTAAGGAAAGGAGGGCGAGCCCCAAGATGGTTTGTGAACGTCTGTGATGAGAAAGCCAGTGTGGCCATGTGGACTTGCTGGTTAGTGCCGCTCAGCAACACCACCTCCATTGTCCCCCGAGAGCATGCCCACATGGTGTGGGCATCCCGTCCCACGTCCCAGGATGGCAGATGAGTCTGCAGCAGTGAGAGTTTGGGGTAGTCAGGGCACTGCTGCTACCACTACTCTCTCTCTCTTTTTTTTTTTTTTTTTGCCTATTTCTCTCAATCAATGGTCATTTTTGAGAAAGCCATTTTTGGAGTCATAAGTTAAGAGTGCCCAGTTTGGCTAGGAGCAGTGGCTCACGCCTATAATCCCAGCACTTTGGGAAGCCGAGGCAGACAGATCACAAAGGCAAGAGATCAAGACCATCATGGCTTACACAGTGAAACCTGTCTCTACTAAAAATACAAAAAATTAGCTGGGCATGGTGGCACGCACCTGTAGTCCTAGTTACTTGGGAAGCTGAGGCAGGAGAATCGCTTGAACCCGGGAGGCGGAAGTTGCAGTGAGCTAAGATCGCACCGCTGCACTCCAGTGTGGGCGACCGAGTGAGACTCTGCCTCAAAAAATAAAAATAAAAAAGAGTGCCCAATTCAACTGACCTGTGTGGATGCCCAGGTTTAGAGCAGACTGGGATAAGCTACTCGTGTGCTTCTAATTCCTCTAGATAACCCAGGTATAGATCATCTGGAAGGAAAAAAACAAAAAACAAAAAGAAAACAGGTAAGAAAAGCAAAGACAATTCTGATAATGGCTAATAAGAGAAGCACCAATCCCATTAGATATGAAAATACACAGCTACGGCAACTGAAGCAGTTTGGTGATGGACAGGACATCTCAGGTGAAACTTCAATGGAAGAAAAGAAGGAACCCGGAAATATACTCTAAGTACTTAACTTCTCTACAGGAATGTAAATGTTAATTACCGCCCCCCCCAAAGAATACAGAATTTAAAAATCAGAGTGCAAAATCATTACGACAAACATGTAACACAAAGTGTCCTGTGGTTATCTGGAAGGGGACAAAGAGAGGTTCTGGAGCTGCGAGACTGGCTGAGTTTCAGCATAAGCAATTGTTGTTATTATAGTAGGTGGTTTGTGTAGAGAAAAAGCAAAGAAAAGATGGAATGGTTCAGCAAAGCAGAAAGTACACTGGGCTGGAAGCCAGGGGTCTGAATTCTAACCACAACTCCTCCCTATGGAATGGTCGTGAGCTAGGTCGTTCTCATTTCTGGGCCTCACTCCAACATTTCAAAGATAAAGAATCAACACAGATGACCTGCAGCGGCCCTTCCTGCTCAGCCTTCTGGGATTCAATGATCATTCCCCGTGTGTGGTTTCCACAGCAGGACTCGATGGGAGTGCAAAAAGAAACTCAGATCTTTCCTGCCCCAAATGGTGGAGCAACCTCATAGGCCGGCTCTGTTCATTTCAGCACTGAGGCTCGCACTGCACCCAGCCCTGTCAGTCACGGGGACCCAGAGATGACTAACACAGGGCACTGGCCTGTGAAGATCATGGGTTACCAGAGGACACAGATGGACACAGACAACAAACAATAATCCCAGGTGGTATGAAGTCAACCCAGCTAGAGGTGAAGACCCATGGGGCACAGCAGAGAGCACAGAGGAGTCTGGCAGGGGACCAGGCAGGGCTTTGCAGCAGAGGTGGCCTTTGAGGATGGGTATTAAAGAATACAGAGCTCACTAAAGGTAGATGGGGCGAAGGAGCCACTGGAGGAAGGAAAAGCATTTGGGTGGATGGCCTGTCTGGCTATAACAAGGTCTAAGATAAGGTCTGAGGCACCCAACATCACTAGAGTTCCATTATCAAGGGCCCCATCTGAAAATTTACATGAAAAGGATATACATTTCTCACCTCCCACTCCCACTGCCCTGGGAGAGCCGCGTAGAGAACACTCAGGCTAGGCTTACCCCTATGAAAGCGGGGAATGAGTAGCAGAGAAGGGTCTTGGAGAGGTTACATGGGACTGGGGAAGCTGGTCTGGAACAGGGCCAGGCTGTTTGTAACAGTGGGAAATCACAGGGCTGCAGGTGGCTTGGGGGAAGTGGTCCTGCCTGTGAGGGAGGGGATCCTAGGCAGCCCTGGCAGCAGGATCTGTGGTGAAGCCAGAAGGAGGCAGGGATACCAGTGAGCAGCTATTCAATAGCCCAGGGCAGAGTGGATGGCATGGAGGAGGAGGAGGAGGAGCCTGGGGAGTAGGGTACAGTTGAGGCAAGCCTGCCAGGGCCTGAGGCAGAACAGCACATCGGCAGGAAAAGCAGAACTGAGGCCAGACTGCCTGGGCTCTACACCTGACTCGCTTTGTGACCTGGGGCTGTTTAACCTTTTCCACCTCAGTTTTCTCATCTGCAAACAATTGGAATGCTTTTTAGGGACATCAAGGGAGTCCATGATTTAATAAATAAAAGCTTTTGGTAGGTGCCTGCACTCAGTGCTCTATTCATGCTGCTGGTGGTGAAGATGGAAGAGCCTGTGGGAGGGAAAGGGGTCTGGACAGTGACTCCTCAGGGGACCCAGCGGGGACAGCAGGCTTGAGAGCGGGGTGGGCATGTGAGTTACTGTTCAGATGTGCCAGGTTTGAGTGTCCGCAGCCCACCCCATTCCAAGTGATTGGAAAGGTGCATCTGGAACTTAGGGAGAGGACACGCGAGGAGAGGGAAATTCAGGAGTCCTGAGCGTGGAGGAGGCTGAGGCAGAAGCATTTGCCTATTTCTCTCAATCAATGGCTGTTTTTTCCATTTTCAGAGCCAGGAGTTAAGGGTGCCCAATTTGGCCGGGCACAGTGGCTCATGCCTATAATCCCAGCACCTCTACCATACGAAGCGGGAGGTGCGGACTCAGGGAGAGGAGGGCTGACGGCAAAGACTTGAGCGTGTGGCTGTGGAATCCAGAACAGAAGCTCCTTGAGGACAAGGGTTTTCACTGTTTTACTCCCTGCTGTATCCCCAGTGCCTGGAACAAAACAGGAGTTCAATAAACATTTGGTGAGTGAATACATGAGGAGACTTTTTCCCGTCATTCACTCTAAGCATTTTCTTAGGCACGAAATACTAACAGTAGCTAACATTTATTAAATGCTTACCCTGTGCCAGGTACCATGCTAAAAGCATGTAGGGTCCCATTTAATCTTTATAGCAGCCTACAGAGAAGGTACTGTTATTATTTCCAGTTTGTAGATCAGGAAGCAGGTCTCAAAAGGTGAAACAGCTGGCTGAGTTAACACATCTGGTGAGGAGCAGAGCTGGGGGCCAAACCCAGGGCTGCAGGACTCCTTGTGGATGCTCTCCTTGACCCTGACCCAGCAAGAAAGGAAACTGGGAACAACTCCTTGGCAACAATGCCCTTTGCCAGCTCCCACATGCTCAGCAAAGAAGGACTGTTTTTAAATCTTGCTGGAGGACGGGGGAGCTAGAAGAATGAGCTGGAGAAGCTGGACCTAGTTGGTGTCAGATTCATGGAGTGAGGCCATTCACAAACCAGTATTTGGTGAGGCTAGATGCTGGAGGAATGGGAGCAGATCAGGAGCCAGGAAGGGAGCTGCCTGGAGTGGGAGAAGGCAGGTTGGAGGTCAGAAACCTACTGAGAGGGAGGAGCTCCATCTGTGCGCAGCGATGGCTGTGTGTGTGAATGTGTGTGCATTTGGGGGAGGTAGTGTGCTGCAAAGGTTGTCCAGAGGATTAAGTCAGGTCCAGAAAGATCCAGGGTTGTCCCAGGGTGACAAGGGCTAGAGGTCATTTGCAAAGTGCAGGGGCTGCACACCTGGCAGGCTGAGCATGTGCAGGTCACGTCACACCTCTTCAACCTGCTTTCATAACCACTGTCGAAGTCCTCAAACGCCAGCAGTTACCCCACCTCTCCTAGATGCTCCGAAGTGGGCACGAGGAGTCAGATGGGCTAAGCTCGCCCCCAGTCTCCAGTTCGCAAGTGACAGATTGGGATGCAGAACCCTGGACTCCTCTAGCTCCTACGTGGTGCTTCCCCAAGCAAGGTGGCTGCCCCGGGAAGTCTGGGGCAACTTCAGCCTGTCTCTCTCCAGGCTGTGTGGACCCTCCGAGGCCCTGCTGCCTCCAGAAAACAAGGCTCATCACCCAGTCCCCCGTGCACAGAAACTGGCTGGGACTGGTATCAGAGTCAGGGCACAGGCCGTGGAGCTGTACAGAGGCTAAATCCAGGACCAGCTCCCTCTGGGCTGCACAGAATTACTTTCACCCCCAACCTCACTCATTCACGACTCATGCCAGCCCCTTCCAGTTCTCTTCACCTCGATGTTGCCTGCCTCTGGTAATTCTCCTGCAGGGAAAAAGCTGTCATGCTGTGTGCCAAGCAGAACCTCATGTCCAGCGTCTGAGCAGACCTGTTGGTTCTGGACACTCTGAGAACACCCTGGGCTAGAGGAGAGGTTCTACCCCTGGCAGTGCCCTTGGGGCCCCCACAGCCTCAGTGGCCCTCAGAGCAGCCTCCCCCAGAGCCACTTCCTCCTCAGCCAATTCTGGGGTAACATGATTAGCCACCGTCCTAGCACTGACCACCACGCACAACCCGTTTCATGTCTGACCAACCCCAGGCTGGACTCTGAACTCAAAGAGAGAAACCCTTCACAGTGGTATGACTCTGAGGGCAAGAGAAGTGTCTGCAACCACAGAATCCACGCTGTCATATATGTGTGGACCTCCTACTATGTGCAGGAATGGTGCTAGGGGCTTCATATGCATATCACAAGGCCACATACAACTTATTTTTCAGATAAGGAAATTAAGGGTCAGACACTTTCCTGGCTTTAACCCCTCCACTTCACCAAATTCATCACTACTCTTGAGTCAGATAAACCCAGAAGCAGAGCCACTCTTCCAGCTCTTCCAGCTCTGCTCCTGGGCTTGACAGAGGGCATGCTGCCCCTTCCTTCACCCGCTGCCTCCGTCTAGAGTGGAGGCCTATTTGGGCCCACTGATAAACTCAGCTCTGCTCTAGGAACTAAAAGAGGCTAATGGAAGGACACCGACATTTGGCGACAACAACTATTCTTGCTGAGCACTGTCATGTTCTCATTCAATCTTCTCAACCGCCCTTTAAGGCAGGTATGACCATCCCCATTTTAGAGAAAAGAAAGCTGAGGCTCAGAAAGAACTGAGGTCACCCAGTAAGGTATATGTCTACCTGAATCTAAGATTCACACTTCTGCCACACGAAACCACTTCTTAACTATCACACTGCCACTGTGGAGCCTGGGGCACACACCATGTCTCTTCTGTCCATTACCACCTTCCCCAGCACCATCAAAGCCCTGTTCCATGGGCAGCAGGCCAGGAATGAGAGGGAAAGGGAGTGTGCTTCCTTCCCAAAGTCTGAAGGACCTTAGTGGGCCCGAGACACCTGTTATCCCAGCAACATGCACGCTTCCCCCTTAGCCTGATGGTCATGATCCTGGCTTGGCCTCTGCAGAGAGAGGCCCTGCCCAAGTCCAGGTGTGGTTTGGAATGATGATCCCCTGGCCAGCTTCCACCAGTTCTCCTCCAAGAGGCTGGGCCTTGTTATCTGTATTATACATTGGCTCTGTGTCCTATCATCCCCTAGCATCCTGCTTCAACATGGAGAGGGTCTTGGGACTCCAAGACCTCCTTTGGTTGCATAAATCACTCTTTTGCTCCATCCTACCAAGAATATCCTTGAGTATCCATAACTATCCATTTATTCCCAAGTCTGTGGAGTCCTTTGACACCACAATTTAAATTGCTGACTTTAAACCCTACGCTAGCTTCTCCTGCCCCCGCAGCCATGTCTGCCCTGACTTACTCTCCTCCGTCATCTGGCATGTCTGTTTTGAGATCGCAGGATGCCCTGTGGCCCTGCCTGCAACAGCCATGGCACCCGGTTCCCATCACTGGGTTTCATGCCCCTGAACCTCACTGTCTCTGCTTTGAGTTCCTGGTATCACTGATAAGCCCCGTCATTATCTGCAGGCCACAGTCTTTGACCCCACTGAGGTCAATGTTCCCTAATACCCTTTTTTTCCACAACTCCCCAAGCTGAGACCTCAGCCAAGACATGAGGGCCTAGATCTCAACAAATGTTACTGATCTTACCCAGGCAGACCTCTGTAGCCACCAGCAGAACCCTGGTTCTAAAGGCACTGGGTAAACTCTTGTTGCAGCTCCCAGTTGGTCATTAGGATCACCACAAGCCCCAAATCTGGTTTATCCCCATGGCCACAGCCACAGCATAACATGGTAATCCATGTGCTCAGAAGGCCACTTCTGGGGTAAGAGGCGGTGCAGCCCATCCAGTGGAGCTCAGGCATAGTCCACCAGGGTGGGGACAAGCGTGAGGCTGTGGGTTCTCCTTCTCCCCTTCATCTCAGTCTTCTCCCTGGGGCAAGTGGTACTGTTTTAAAACCAAATTCATCATTCAGCCTCAGGGCACTGGCAACTATGGCCCTGAGGTGTGTGCTGGCCTATTGCTGGGAGACAGAACTGAGTAAGTCTGAAAACTCTGAGCTATCCATTTTCCAGTCCTGAGCCAGCTCTGACTCAGGACCCATCCTGCCATATCCCTGCAGGACACATGATGCCCATCAAGTTCTCAAAGTCCCTCAGACAATGTCCAATATCACCAATCATTGCAACAACAGCATTAAAACAACTTGCCGCGCCACTCCTGACCAAAATCACAAAATGAGGAAAAGGAAGTAAATGAAACAGCTACACATAAATAAAAACGATGAACCTTTATACTGGAGGGCTGTGGGGACACCAATACATAATTGGTGTCACGGTAAATGGGCTCCACAGTTCTGGAGAACCATCTAGCAATATGTGACAGGAACTATAAAATTGTTCATGCCCTTTAACCTAGTAGGTCCACTTGGGGAATGCTTCCCAGTAAAATACTAAGAAAGTAATTTGTACAGAGATATTCATAGCCATGATATTTATAATAGCAAGAAATTGGAAGGAGCCCAAAGGTTCAGCACTTGGGGATTGACTAAGCAAATTGGGTCGAGTGAACACTCCGGGATGCTTTACAGCCAGGAGGTGTGGACGTGTGCAGTCTGGGCGAAATGAATGTGCATCCTTGGGCTGGCAAGATAGGAAACAGACTGAATCAGATGGCCTCTGACTCCAGCTTCAGCCATGGAAGCAAACGTGCAGTTAGCTACTCATGCTGCCTTCATGTTAACTCAGTTACGTCAGTAAGCTTCATGCCAATTATGATGGTTTTAAAGGTCATTTATTTTACTTTCTTTTTCTAAAGGTCATTTTGAATTAACTGAATTCTTTTTTAAGAAGACACTTCAAATGCTAACAAGGAACTCCGAGGAGGAGATTTCGTAACTGTCCTTGGGTGCGCTCATCTCCTGGGAGTCCTTTCCTTATGTCTACGCAGGAGGACCTGGGCTCACCCACGTGGCTAGATGGGGGCTGGTGTGGACTGGAGGCCCTGGGCACCCTGGGCCCTGAGACAGTTGTGAGGGTCCCTGGCCTCAGCAGCCCCAGACACTGTGATAGGGCAGTCCCTGGCCCTGATGCTCCGTCCCACCCCTTCCTGAGCCTTCCTCCCTCCGGAGCCCACCCTGTGCTCCATGCTTTCTCTCCTGTGTCTCAGGAAGAGGTTACTGAAGAGCATGTCAGCCTCTCCTTCCGGAAACAATGTCTGAGTGTCTAAGGTGGCCCTGCAGGCAGGGCCTGGGCTTCCTGGCCTGGGGTAGGAGTCCCCTGAGAGCAGTGGCGTCCTCTCCCACCTGCAGCCTGTGAGAATCACCTGGGGACCTTTTTAAAATAAAGACTCCTGTGCCCCTCCCATGGACTCCCTGTGGGCGGAACCTGGGAATGTGCATATTCCTGGGGGTTCTCATGATGCAAACCACTGTTCTAGAGCCTTTGATGCCTAAGAAAGAAGGTGTGAGCCTGCCTTCTTGGGCTCCTGGGTTCAAAAGGCTCTTATCTTGAGCCAGCAGCCATGGTAGAAACTGCAACCCCTCATATGTACACACACACACACACACACACTCCTTCAGAGGAAGGCCCTGCCCAGTAGCCTAGAGCATCAGGGAGGGCCCTCCACAGGCCCCTAAAAGCACCTGGCTCCCTGGCTCCCTAGAGGCCAAAAGCCAGCCTCCACCTCGGCCCAGGCATGGTGTCTCCCTGGGACTGCAGCCTCCCAAGCTGTCTGGGTTTCCCACGTCCCGAGGTAGGGTCTCCTGCTACAGGAGCTCTTGGTCCCTGCCCATGGTCCCCGGTGGGGCAGTGGGGGCCTGTGGCCCGCCTGCCCAGGCCATACTTACGGAGTCATTTTATAAAGCTGCGATCTCCTCTCAAACAGCGACCCTCCCCAGGCCCAGGGCCACACCCCGGCCACTGGCATGGCCTGGGCAGACTCCGTCTCACCGCCCCCCGTCTCCAGGACACGCTTCAGCTTCACATTGGCGCTTGAGTCCCCCAGCCTGTTGTCAGGAAACACCGAGAGTCGTCACCCTGCCCCACCAACCACCCTGCTGAGTGAGAACCAGTGAGAACAGGCTGAAGCCTCTGTGGTCCTGGGGAACCGAGAACAGAGGGAGGAGGGCCGGGAGGAACTCCAGGGGTGGGGTCTCCTCCCACGGGTTTTGCAGCAGCTTTCTGAGCCCTTATCTGGGATGTTGAGGAAGTGACAGGGAGAGGGCCACTTCTCCTGAGCCCCCGTCCAACCTATTCCTGAAGTAGCAAGAGAGCTGGGGGACCCTGGAGTTCCCCAAAAGCACTGTCTCCAAGCCTGGGATCCTGGGGCCCAGTGCGGCCTTATTTGGGGATCTGGGTCTCTCCGGGGGAAGGGACAGCAGCAGGGGTCAGATAACTTCCAGGCAATGCGAGGGTCCAGTGTGTGCAGGGACATGAGTTTGGGCTAAAGGGAAAGAGGGAACTAGCACAACCTCTGTCCCCTCTGAGCTGACTGTGCTCGTTCTACTCTTGCACCCCAGGATCCCAGGACAAGGGGTGCGCAAAGCTGCCCCTCTCCAACTCCTGGGCCCTGCTCTTAGGGAGGGGAGCCGGGTGTCTACTTCTCTGGGACATAGAGTCACACAGACTTGAAGGGCCCTTGTTTTCCCTGCAGAGGCACCAGCAGGGCGTTTCCGCCCAATCCTGAGGCCAGCTCTCTCACCCCCCTCCCCACAGCACATGCCCCCACACCCTGGTCTAGGCCCAGGCTTGCCTCAGTTTACTCAGAGTGCCCAGCTGTCAGCAAGGTTTGAGGGAAGCTCTGTGGGGCTGGAGGGAAGCCAGGACACTACCCACTGAGTCCTCCCCCACACAGGTGGCATTGTCGCTGATGCCAGGCCCAAGCAAAGAGGAAATGTTCTGTGCCCTGTTTAGACTCTGCATTTGCAGAGACAATGGACTGAGAGCAACAGGGAGCCAGGAGGCCGACCTGTAGCTTCACTGCCAGCCTCACACCGCCCTTGCCCTCAGGCAGCAGAGGGGGTCAGGGCCACACAGGCCCCACCCTGGGGTACCCTGATGAATGCAGCTCGGGCTGGGGAGGCGCCGGCCAGGAGGTGGGGGCACACTGAGCTGCATCCACTGCTGAAATCACCCGCAGCTGGGCAGAGCCAAGGCCTACGTAAGTGTGGACATGACCGCAACTGTGCTGTGTGGGAAGCAGGCTCGGAGTTCACACAGTGCCTGTCATGACCATGCTTGGTTTTCTCAGCGTGTGTTATTCCTCAGACTCCATCAGCTTCTATGTTGACAAGGATGCACAGACCCCAATTACGTACAACAGTATAAGGGATCCTCTGGCCCAGTAGTTTTCGGTTGGAACACAGCCTTTCATGAAGAGGCTAACAGAAAACATAAAAGCAAGTGGCTCTGGATGGAACTGGGGACAGGGTGGTGCTAGAGTTCCACACTCTCAGTCTCTCCCTCCCCATCACCCCCACTCCTGCTTCCTGCTTCTGGGTGGCCCTGGGGCTCTAAATGTCATTTGAAAATCACTGCTATGGTCCAGCCTTATTTTCAGATGAAGAAGCTGAGGCCCAGAGTGGGTAGAGATCTGCCAAAGGTCACATAGCAAGTTGGTAGCAGAGCCAGGGCTGGAGCTAGAACGTAGGCCCCATGACTTCTAACCAGTGTGGCCTCCAGCTCCTAAGCCAGAGGCCAGCAACCCCACCCATGGCTCTGACCTCCTCTAACCTTCTCCCACCAACTCTGGCTTTCCTGCATGGAGGGGCCTGGTATCTGGAACCACCCCTTCCAGAAACAAGGTCCAGACAGGCCTGAGTTCTTGGCCCTTCAGGACTGGATCTGGACACTGTGATCACATTCTCCATAGGTGACCTAGCCACGGGGGCTCCCAAATCTATTTCCTGATGGCACCCCTGAGCCCCAAATGCCTCCAGCCCCCTCCAGGGGCACCCCTAGCTCTCCAGGTTCAAAGCAGCTCACCTTATGCCAGACCTGCTCCTCCTCCTGTTTTCTGGCAATGGGCATAGTCCCACCTTTCACTCAGTCATCACCCCAGAAACCCAGACGCCACTCTGACCTCTTCATCTAGCCTGCGGCTCCACCTGTGAAGCTCTCCTATCTGTCTCCTCCCCTGTCCCCAGTGCCTCTGCCTGGACTGAGGCCTCACATGTCCCCAGCCTCCTTCTGGTCTCCTTGCCTGTAGTTCTGCCTGCTCCAGGAACATCACACTTTGAAAAGTTAATCTGAACATGTCACTTATCTGCTGGCAAGGCTCTTTCCACTGCCCCTCATTCCAAAGGATACAAACCAAGCTCTTCCATGAAGCATGTGAGGCTGCAGGACCTGCCCCTGACCCCTCTCCTGCCTTGCTCTGCTGTCTCCCTTCCAGGCTGCCATTGCTCCAGCCACTCCTAAACTCCTGCCAGATCTCCCACAGAACTTCTCACCTCCTGCCTTGGCACACACCCTCTTGTCTCCTCAGATCCAGGCTTTTCCAAGTGTGCCCTGGGGCACCTGCTTCACCATCCCCCAGCACACTGTAGACTCCTGGGCACCACCTGCCCAAAGCTGACAAGAGAATCTGAATTTTTGACAGGAATCTGTGGATGCTGCACACTAAATGTTGAAAGGCACCATTCCACCAGGCAGCTCCTCTTGTCCCAGCCTCCCTCCTGCCTCAGCTGGGCAATTCCTTCCTTTTTGTCCCTGCCCTCTCCAGGGTGTGACTGACTGGGACTGGGTGTCTCCTCTGCTGTTTATGAGCTCCATACTGGCAGTGACCACATCTTCTTCCTCTGACCCTGAGCCTGGTATAGAGAAGGGATCAATGAATGGTACCCCCAGGGAAGCCCCGGTGCCCCTGGCCAGGAGGTCAAGCTGATCTGGTGAGAAGCCACAGCTTGTCCAGAAACCTGAGACGCTGCTCCCAGAGTCTCTGCAAGTTACGCCTGTCCCTCCACCCCACACAACCTCATCCCTGCACAGGAAGGAGACATGCTGGGACTATGCATAATGGAGGCCCACGGGGTGTTAACAGTGACATTTAGCAACAAGCTCTCCGGAAAATGTTTGCATGCACAGACTCAACAAACTTATTGTAAACTTTACTGACACAAATAAGGTATAGCAGATAATTTACAAATACCAAGGAAATATCCAATATTCTTTACTGTAAATGCCAAATAGCCAAATGATTGTCCCAGAAGTCAACCCATTCATGAGTTTTGCCTAACTCTTTATCAGCAGCCAGCCTATGGCTGCAATGACAAGTAAGTGTAGTTCCAACTTTATGTTGCTTGATATTTTCATTATGTTAACAAGCAAGTTGAAAGTGAAACCACAAAGACGTCACTCCTTCACTGGTGGTCTGAGTGACTTCTTTGCAGAATAGGTTAATAGTTTGGGAATACTGCGGTGGCTCATGCTTGTAATCCCAGCACTTTGGGAGGCCGAGGCGGGTGGATCACGAGGTCAAGAGATCGAGACCATCCTGGTCAACAAGGTGAAACCCCATCTCTACTAAAAATAAAAAATTAGGTGGGCATGGTGGTGCATGCCTGTAGTCCCAGCTACTCGGGAGGCTGAGGCAGGAGAATTGCTTGAACCCAGGAGGCGGAGGTTGTGGTGAGCTGAGATCGTGCCATTGCACTCCAGCCTGGGTAACAAGAGTGAAACTTCGTCTCAAAAAAAAAAAATAGTTTGGGAATACTGGAAAAATATTTGTTTTCTGCTAGCCACAATGTAGCAGCTATAAACATATCACACTTAAAATTTAATTTGTATTAGTAATTTTTTTCCCATCACTTTCTTAGGTCTAGACTGTCAACAAAATAAATTAGGTCTTAATGTATAGCACCTGTTGACTTCCCTGCTCTAACCGCTGTCTCCATGGCCCATCTGTGATGTGACTGAGCACAGAGGTGGGAGGAGATGCTCAGCAGTGCATGGTCCCATGGAAGTTAAGATACAATAGACAGGTGCAGGGAAATGCAGTAAATTGAATGGGAAGTGCTGGGTTTTCAGTATATTACCTTTGTAAATATACTTTTTTTTTGAGAGAGAGAGAAAGGGTCTTGCTCTTTAGCCCAGGCTGGAGTGCAGTGGTGTGATCTTGGCTCACTGCAGCCTCGATCTCCTAGGCTCAAGTGTTCCTCTCACCTTAGCCTCCCAGTAGCTGGGACTACGGGTGTGCGCCATTGTGCCTGGCTGATTTTTATATTATTTTTGTAGAGATGGGGGTCTCACCATGTTGCCCAGGCTGGCCTCATACTCCTGGCCTCAAGCGATCTTCCTGTCTTGGCCTCCCAAAGTGCTGGTGTGGCAGGCCAGGTCTCACTAACACAGGCCTCCATAACAACTGTTTCAGTACTGACTGAGTGGTTAAGTTAAATGTTAAAAGCTAATAGAACCATTGTCCTTATACAAAACCTAGAATGTAACAAAAGCCCACCAAGAGTTTTGCCTAGGCCTTTCCTGGGCCTTAAAACATGACAAAATAATGAAGGAATTCTTAACAGGATCTGTTTAAGATTAAACGAGTTTTACTGGGGGTCTGAAGGAACTCCCCAAGCCTCCATGGCTTAGCAGGAGACAAGGTAAGGGGAATCACCTGGCATCTGGACCCATTTAGATTAAGCGAATTTACTGAGGCTCCAGAGGAAGGTATGGAGGACTGAGATCTTAGTTATAGTTTGAAAAGTTACGTGAAGCAAACACAAGTTTTAATAGCCGAATCGATCAAGCGGAAAAAAAAAAAGAAGTTAATCACTGTCTTTAGATGAATGCACACTTACATATAGCCTAGAAGGTATATAAGCTCTGGAAAACTGTAATTCTGAGTTGGTCTGGTGATAATTTTCAGGTCTTCTCCCTGTAACTGGTCACAGAAATAAAAACTCCCTTCTCTCCCAGTTCATCTGTATCTCGTTATTGGGCCTTGAGAATAAGCAGCCTGACCCTCGGTTTGGTCCAGGAACACTGGGATTACAGGCGTGAGTCATGTGCCCAGCCAGTTTGATCCTTAATAACAGTTATGTTTAACAATAGGCTTAGAAACATTTCCCTTTATTGCACAATTGATTCTCATGGGCCGTTTGTGGGCCTGTTCCAGGACAGTCACCCTGAAGAAGTGAATGGGACCGCCCCATTACTGCTGTTACCCAGAGGGCCAGTCCCCTCCTTAGCCCTCAGAGTCTAGCTTGTGAGCTGCCAGAGGTGGGATCCTGAGAGTCTAACAGATGCTTTCTGTGACCCAGCCAGCTTGTGTCCTCTGTGGGCTCCAGGTTCTTCAACTTTGAGGGGGAAAATGGTGCCTCCCAACATTTGTGAGGTATGGGGAGAATGAAGGGCCCACTTGCCCCTCCCCCCACACAGTAGTTCATGCCCATCACTGCCCCCAACACTTTACCTGACACACACCATGCACTGATTTTGGGGACATGCCTGCATACCCCTCACCCTCCCAAACCACACCATGCACAATAACATGTCACCCCATACACCACCCAGAGACAAGCTGACCTGTACGCACATCACCTGACATGCCACAGACAGATTTTCCTCCAGCTCTACCTCACACACAGCCCCACCTACTACCCAGTCACACCCCACAAAGGCTCATATGCACAAATGTACCTGAAACTCCTTTGTACACTATGTATTCACATGTATTGCACCAAATACCTTCCCCTCACCCCCAGGCATTTCACACAGAAATGGAGGCCTCACCCTGCCCACTACACCCCACTGACACTCCAGACATCCCCCCATCTCCCCCTGCCAGCACATGTGGAGCATGCGCACCACACACATGTGCCCATTTATCTACACTTACTGGGGGTCTGAAGGAACTCCCCAAACCTTCATGGCTTAGCAGGAGACAAGATAAGGGTAATCACTCCTGGAACTTAGACCCACTCATGCCACCCCCACGCAGAGCTCACACACTCGAGGCATTCCCATAGGGCCCTACATTCCAGGACAGGAGACCCCAGCCAGCCCTCTGAGCCCATGCCCTGGATTAAGGAGCAATGAGAGGTATCCTGGTAGCAAGAGGCGGGAAAGCTGGGGCATACTTCCTTGGGGTGACAGCTTGCTTCCCTGGAGATCAGACCCTGGCTTGACACACATACAGGTGTACACACAGATATGCCAGAACAGACATCCAGGCTGGAAGATGACATGGCATGCAGGTGAGGACATTTCTACAGGCTCACACATATGCATTCCAATTTATGGAAATGAGCATGGTCCCACAACTATTCCCTACTCCCATGCACGCACACAAACACAAACACACACACAAACACAAACACACTCCAGCCCTTGCCCCTGCCAGGCCCAAGGAGGGGCATGTGGAAAATCAGAGGATCATAAA